TCTGGGCAATGCTGCAGCTGCGAACATCGATGAGGTGCGCCTTTAGAACAAAGACGAGGTGTGAAAAGTAGTGGCAATGCCTATCGCGGAGTTGTGTGTACTTGTGTGTCAACACTTTCTTTTTTCCTTCGGTGACTGCCGTTCGAAAATGTTGACTGACCGGAGGCATCGTGAGCAATGAAGAGATTTAGAGAGAAAGAAAAGTAAAAAAGTTATTAGAGTTTGAAAAATTTCGTAGGTTGAAATGACGTAAGGGTGGGATATATAGATTAATTTGATTTTATAATATTATTATTAAATTAAAATATAGAATTATCGTATGATTTTTATATAAACAAACTTTAAATCTGATTTTTGAAAGGGAAGATTACATGACTAAGATGTTAAATTCACCAATTTCAAATTTAAGATATTAAGGTTTAAAATTTCAAATATCAGATTTTTCAAATTTTATTTATAAATAAATTAATTAAACATATATTTTATTAATTAAATATATTAAAGTCACAATTTCATATAATTTGGTCACAAATTTCATATAATTGGTCACGTATTATTAATTGATCACAAATTACAATTTTTATAAGTCACAAATTATTTTACGATCACAATTCAAAAATTTTATAGGTCGAAATTTGTTCATCAATCACAAATCATAAATTTTATATGTCACAAATTATTTTACGGTCACAATTAAAAAAATTTATAGATCACAATTTGTTCATCGATCACAAATAAAAATTTATACTTCATAATTTATTTATCGATTACAAATCACAAGTATTATAAGTTACAACTTACAGTTACAAATTATCAAATTATCGTCCACATATTAACAATTTTTTAGGTCACACACTATTTTTTTGTCACAAATTATAGAATTTTAAGGTCACATATTAAAAGTTGGTCACAATGAACCAAATAATTGGTCACATACACCAAAACACCCCACCCTCGATCCCGATCCACTACCAATACTTGGTTACAAATCAACTAAATAATTGGTCATAGACACTATCCTACTACTGTCGTTGCCGTTGCCACAACTACAACAGCACCACAAACACCACCACCACTAGATCCATTACACTCCTAACAAAAATTATCACGACCACCCCTGCAATCGTCGCCACCACCATTTTTTCAACACCACTATCACAACGACGCACCAACAATACCACCAGTCGCCACCACCACCTCCAAAACAAAACCACACAGCACTCACTACACACCGCACACACCATCGTCACCACCACACCACACACAACACCCACTACACACCTCCGCACCCAACCCCAACCACCAAATATAACATCACACCTAACCACTGCACACCAGTACATGATCCAAACCTACCGCTGCACACAACACCATACCCAACCTAGATTTTCGTTGCCTGTGGACCGCTCTCACTTCCAAAAGTACAAGCCATAGATGCTGAAATGAGCCACTGAGCATCGCTCACTGCCTGAAAAAGAAGCCACAATGGCGATCTATGCCACCGAGCGCTGTTGTACGCGATAGTCTGCGTGGTAGCGACGCGCGATAATCCACGCGACATCGATAATCTGGCGCTGTGCACGACGGCACTTAGTTCGTCGCCAGATGTCGCTTCTACCGGTGAAGAGGATGCTGCTTTCGTCGGTGAGGAAGAAGAGAACATGAGATGAGAAGAGAAAAGAGAGAGTGAGAAAAAACAAGACGGAGAGAAGAGAAAAGACGAAGAGGAGGAGGAAAATTCCAGGGTTTGCCGGTTTGAGATGAAATTGATTAGAGTTTGTGATGAAAATTTTATAATTAATATTTAAGATTTAAAAAAGAAATATTTGATTTTTGAAATATGAAATATGAAAACTTATATTTGAAATTTGAAATTGAATCTTGAAAACTCCGATTTTGTGTAATTTTTACCTTGAAATTGGAACTTGAAAAATCTGATTTTATGTAATTTCCACTCTCAATTATTTGGCAAGTTAAATTGGTGATCCTGTGTGGGCTTGTCAGCAAGCCCGACCCAAATAGTAAAGTGTAGTTCTCATAATCTCATTAGGGTAATTGGAGCAAAACGTCCCTACCTATGACGGGTTGTGTGGAAAACGTCCCTACGTATGATTTTTTGGTGCAGAACGTCCCCACCTTTACATTTTCTTGCGTAAAACGTCATTTTAACCAATTTTTAACATAAAATGACCATTATACCCTCCTGTATATATAAAACAAAAAACAAAATAAAAGAAAAATAAATAATAAATTGCAATTTGCTCCTAAACTTTTTTAAAATGCAAATGAGTCCAAAATTTTAAGAAAATCCCAAAGGGTTAATT